CGTTCAAAGTTAACCCTGTTCTGAAGCTGGCAGTAATTACCCTTCTTTCTCCTAGATTACTTTCTAAGTATTTCATTAAAAATAATAATAATGATCACCTAAATCGAGCACCCTACAAAAAAGTTGATGAATACTTTTTGTAAAGGGATCGTAACACAAAGCACTATTTTTGGTGACTCAACTCTTGTTAAAATATTCCATTTCAAAACTACTAAAACTCTAAAAGAGCTAACTGTGTTGTTAAAGATCAAGTCCATTTTGAAAAGATTAATCTGTCTCATGAAAACGGTGCTGGGCCTGCATCAGTTTATGATCTCCTGCAGTTTGTTCAAGATTCAGTTCCTACTTTCAAGGTGCTGCTAATCTAGTGGAGATGATACAGATTCTTTTCATGGGATATGGCTGGGCAGTGGCATAGTTATATACTGAATACCAAAGAAAAAAGAACATTTGATTTAACCTAAGAAGTGGAACATAAATTTTCTGGATTTGAAAATGCTTACTCACTAAATAAGAGTGGGTTTTTCAAGTTAGGAAAGCAATGACATCCTAGGCTGAGGTGCTCCATGACTAAGGGTCAAATTCCCTAGAACAGCATTGCTGCTATGTGTACCAGCGGTTTGGTCCTAAAAGCACGAAATGTGGAGCAGTGTAGATGAGCTGGAGAGGCAGGAACCAGGTTGCTGGTTCATGCTAAGTAGTTTGAATGTTATCCTATTGGTGATAGGGCAGCAGTGAAGAGTTTATAGTGGGGGAATGGCATTTAAAAAAAAATTTATTTATTTATTTTTTTTAGAGAGGGAAGAGAGGGTAATACAGAGAGCGAGAGAGAAACATCAATGTGCAGTTGCTGGGGGTTATGGCCTGCAACCCAGGCATGTGCCCTGACTGGGAATCGAACCTGGGACACTTTGGTTCCCAGCCCGAGCTCAATCCACTGAGCTACACCAGCCAGGGAGGCAATGGCATTTTTATTCCAAATACAAAGAGGACAAAATTGAAGACAAAGAAGTCAATGTTGGAGGTCAAGGTAAGCAATAAGAACCATAATTAAGAAAATGAGCCCTGGCTGGTGTAGCTCAGTGGACTGAGAATGGGCCTTCGAACCAAAGGGTCACCAGTTCGATTCCCAGTCAGGGTAGGCCCCGAGTTGGGGACATGTGAGAGGCAACCACACATTGATGTTTCTCCCCTTCTCCCTCCCTTCCCCTATTTTTAAACAAACAAAAAAACCAATCAAATAAATAAATTCTTTAAATAAAATTAAAAAAAGAAAATGATAGCTGGTAGGAAGAAAGTGTTTATGTTTAAGGATTATTTAACAAGTAAAATGGGAAGTTTTCAATAATTAAAAAGGCATGACATTGGGGATAAGAGGGGGAGAGTCTTGGAGAAACTCCAGTTCTCTGGACAGAAGGAAAAGGTTTCGAGATATGAACAGGTAAGCTGATGCACTGTTTGTTCCCTTGTCCCCAGATAACACTTGTCACAGTTAAACTGTGATTGAGATTTTACCTACAATTAACTAGGTTACTATCAAAATGTTAAATATAAATTTTAGAACCACTGAATTAAAACTAAATAAGCCAATACAGAAAAGTTATTTCAGTTTTGTAAAACTATCTGGCCTGCTAAGCTAAAACAGAAATGCTATTTCCTTTTTTAAAAGAAGGGTCAGGTGGCAATACTAAATTTCTTAAAGAAAATTTAACCACTGATTGTAATGTCTGTGGCTTTTGGGAAAAACATAACCCCAAATTACAGTGGCTGTGGTGAAAGACTATTACGAAGAGCTTTCAGCGTCAGAAACGGTCTAAGTGTCAGTGCGCACGGGAGCCCTGGTCAGGACCTGGCTGGACCAGCACGACTGACGACTCTTGTCCTGGCCCGGGCTGGTGTCAGCAGCAAGGGTGCTTTCCTTTCTTTAGCAAAGATTTTCAAGGCACACAGAATTAATTTAATAAAGACAAATACGTCCGAGTCAAACTTTCTAGTTAATATCCTAGAAAAAAAATGTACAAATCTACAATGAATACTGTATGACTTAGTCTTAAATATACGACCAAGACTAAACCAAATCATCTCTCAAAGGAGTTTGAAGAGACATGCGCCACCTCCTTAGCTATTGTGTTTTCTATCAGAGTTCAACGTTTACCCCTCAGTTAAGGACACTGTAACATAGAGAAAATCCAGAGGGAAATTAAAGCAGAAGGTGTTTTATTTTCCATACTTTCTCAGGAGTAATTTTAGTTGCTTAAGTTCACACTGACTGTTTTTCACTTTGCTGTAGTCTATCCTTTCCTAATTTCTCAGTAAGAAATTAGGTGGCCAAAGATGCTGATTGCTGTTAATTCTAAGTTTTGGCTTCAGAATTCTATTTATTAAAGAAACATTTGAGTGCTGTGAAGTGACCTAAATCTTAGAATTAAAAAACAGCTTCCAGGCTTTTCTAAATCAGTGCCTTCAGTCAGTACACAAGCAGTTTGGAGTTTCCTGGAAAGTAGCTCTTCCGGCTCTACAGACCCCAGCTAGCTGCCAGAGAACTAGCGGACACAATGAACGGTGGCCTGGGAAGCCAGGCAGGAGGTGGGCAGAAGGTGGCAGAAGCTACTGCTCATACTGTGGCCCTGCCACAGTATGTTTCCTAGACAGTGTAGCCGAAGTCCTGGTCTCTCGACCCTGGAGAGTAGTGTGATACAGAAACCACCAACCACTTCAACATCTTCACAACTTCATCCGAAATATAGTTTTAAGAGACTATTTCCACTATTACACAGTCAATCTGAAGTAATCATTATTTGTAAGTAGAAGATGGATACATTTCATAAAAGAACGCCATGTAGAATCCTGTTCAGAAATTTTTTTAAATTTATTTGGCTTTAAATACCATCTATATTCTTGTCAATCCCAATCTGCAGTGCTGAGAAGCCACCTGAACTCCAGAACCATGCTTCTAGCTGCCTGCCTAACATCTCCTCTGTCTAGGGTTGAGAATAGGCACCTCTAATTTAATATGAACAAACCAGGTTTTTTATGCCCATGAAACCCAACCCTTCCTCACTGTAGCAAATGAAGTCACCACCTAAAATCACCACCTACCCAATAATTTATTCTGGGAGGAATTTGTTTGAAAAACAGCCTTATGAAAATATTATATACATATAATAAAATGCATCACCATGAAATAATTTGATAAGTTTTGTCAAATGTAATCACCACCACAATTATAACTAAGACATTTTTCCATCACCTTCAAAAAGTCTTCCCCACCCTCCCCAGGCAAACGCTGATTTCTTTATCTCTTCTTTTTTTTTTTAGACAGGGAATATTTTATTGCTAAAGTAAAGAATAATCCTGGATCACAAATACAGTGGATTTAAGGAACTTAACAAAGAGAATAGTTACAATGGGGTTTTAATGTATTCTCTTAATTTGTAATAACTATATTTATTTAGAAAAATGCATGCACATGGGACTGATATGTACATATAGGTACATATAAATGCATCTAAAACTCACTGCTTGAAATATAATTGCAAAAATACTACTTACGACAAACCTTACTAATTCTTCATATAATTTTGAATATTATATATACTTCCAAGTTAAAACAGGAGTTTCTATTATTTTCAGAACAACTGATGCCAGGATTAGTTTGCTGACAAAATGGATGAGAGAGAAATAGTGGATACTGGGGACAGGGGGCAGGCAAGATTCCCAAGGCCACAACCCCAAGAGGTGCCCGTGGCTCAGAGGGACCCTGAGCGATCTCTGGAGCAGCTCCAGTATATTAAAATGTATGGCTACGAAAAACAGGAGACACCTTGGGATCTTCCAGGAAAATATGAACAGAATTAGCTGCTTCCTACAGGGGTACATGAATTTCAAATTGATTTCAAAGTGAGTATAGAAGTTGGGAAGGGCTGGGCCAATGATATGGCTATTTATGGAAGATTTATATTAATTTATAAATTTTAGTATAAGACTCTTTTTCTTTTAAATTTGATCTTTATTGTTTTTTTTTCATTACCATTTAGTCCCCTTCCCTCCCTTATACCTTCAAAAAGTCTCCCCACCATTCCTAGGAAAACACTGATTCCTTTCTTCTCGAATTAGTTTTGCCTTCTCCAGAATTTCATGTAAATAGAATCATGTAGCATGAAAATTTTTTGAGTCTGGCTTTTTTCCTACCTTCCTTATCTAAACAAGTACCCATTCTCAGCTAAACACATAACCCTGAATTTTTTCTTTACAGCCTATAGAACTATATGAAACTACCTTACTTATAAAGGTTTTTTAACTTGAACAGAAGCTCCATGAGTGCCTAGGAACAGTGTCTATCTTGTTAGATGCTATACATCAAAATCTTCCAACAGTGTCAACACAGGGCAGATGCTTAATAAATACTACTGAATGAAGAAATTAAAATAACCCTCTCAAGTGCTTCATATTGAAATTACACATTAAACGACCAGGAAGCTGAATTCATACTTTGTTCGAAGATGAGAATGTTGGGGAGAGAATGGTGTGGTGGCCGACTTGCAAGTCCTCTTGAATATGGCTACCTGATTTTGGATCCGGGCTACTGCCTCTTCTAAGAAGTTATGATGGCCTTGAGCAACTTATAGAACCTTCCTAAGCTTTAATTTCTGCTACTGCAAAAATGGGGATATATGTTTTCACATATATTGTTTCGTATTGAGTGTATGTGTACATGTGTTGTTTGTGAAAAAACCACATACTTTAAACAGGAGGCTTAATGTAGCAGTGATGACTAAACATGAATTTGTACTGTGATTTGTCTTGAAAATACAGTTAAAGGTAAGATTATAAAGAAGGTAAAACTATACATATATTAAGAATTATTTGTTTAAAATATTAATACAAAAGGCAACATAATTAAATACTGATACATTTACTAAGTTGATTTTAAAATAATAGGAAGAATACTGAATTTTAAGAAAAGTAAAAAAAAATCACTAAGAATTAATTTTACCAACCTGACTAATTTTTCTTTGTTCTTGTATAGCTTTTTCAATTGCCTGAGATACTTGTTCTTGATCTTTTGCATGCTCAGTCTTCCATAATTCCCGTTCTTCAGCATGAGCTTTATCCAATTTTTTTCTTTCTTCTTCTATGGCTTTTAAAACTTCAACCTTCATTGCTTCTTTCTCAAGCTTCAAAACAAATAAAGACCAAAACAAAACAAACTGAAAGGATGACTGCACAATAATTCTTTGAATAATACAGTCTTGGGTCAACCTAAAAAACACAAAACTTTGATTCTACAGGGTTTAGTTCTGATGTTTTTAAGCAGCTTTAATAACTGCTGTGAAATAAAATCAATCTGTTTTGGTACAAATGATCGACTTATTTCCATGGCATTTCTAAACTTAAAAGAAACCAAGTCTTAGCTTAAAGTAACAGTTGTTGAACTATTTGATCTTAGGATCCTTTTACACTCTTAAAAATTACTGAAGACTTCAAAGAGCTGGTGGTTTGTATTGGTTATACATGTTAAGATTTACCCTATAAGGAATTTAAACCAAAACAAAATTAAAATATATATTTATCAATTCATTTAAAACTAATAACACTAAAGACACTGTATAACGAACACTATACTTTGTAAAAATAACTATATTTTGCAAAATTAAAAAGTGAAAAGAATGTTTCTAAACCTCCTTAATAGCTGACTTAAGACATCTAGAGTTTTATATCTGCCTTCTGTATTAAACCTGTAATGATATTATTTGGTTAAATTATATTAAAAAGGAAAAAAAAGTCTTACAGAGATGCGTAGTAAAGAAGGGAAAAATATTTAGTAGCCAGGTTGAGATTACTGTAGATATTCTTATGATTCCACACAAAAGTTAATGAGGTAGTTCTTAAGTTAGTTGCAGTAAAGAAAACCAAATCATGTCAATGAAATTTTTGTACTCTTACCTTACAATCCTTTTGCACTTTGAATAAATCCTTTATCTATGCATGACTTTAAAAACTCTTTTTTTACTTGGAAAACACTGAATGAAAGCAAATACAAATTTTCTAAAATTCTAATTTTTGCTTTGAAGCTTGAAATTTACCATAAGTATTAAAAACTTTTTTTTTCCTTCATGTGCTGGACTCACCCCACATATTTTGGAGAAAATGTCTGTCAAATATTAAAGCCTATGTAACTCTACATAGTAAAATGGATTTCCACAAAAAAAAAAATGTGCCTACACTTCAGCTGTAATTCAAATACCTGCACAAGAACTTTCCTCAAGAAAACCATCCACTTTGGTATGCAGCAAAGTCTACAGACCTCCCACCCCTAATCCCTAGAAAGTTACCACTTTTTCTATTGCCTCTAGTTCATGACCAATTTGACAAAAAACTATAGAAGCTGACAGTTACCACTTTCTAGACTATGTTACTCCACCATTCTCTTCCTAAACTACTCTTACTAGGCTCATTGATACCTTCCACAGTTTTTTTTTTTGCTTTGTTTGAGTCCTTATTTTTGTTAACCTCAAAGCAGCATTCTACATAGCTGCCTACTTCTGTTTTCTTTTCTTTCTTTTTTAAGATTATTTATTTATTTATTTTTTAGAGAAGGAAGGGAAGGAGAAAGAGAGAGAGAAACATCAATGTGTGGCTGCTGAGGGTCATGGCCTGCAACCCAGGCATGTACCCTGACTGGGAATCGAACCTGCGATGCTTTGGTTCGCAGCCCGAGCTCAATCCACCAAGCTACGCCAGCCAGGGCCCTACTTCTGTTTTCTTGAAGCCCTCTCTTTTCTGGGTTTGCACAACTGCGTGCATTTTTTACTTCTCCTACTAATTTGGCTGAGTCTTTTCAGTTTTTTGTAACCTCTTCTTTTCTCTGAATTTTAAATCTTGTTTTTCTTTCAGGGCTCAGACACTGGACCACCTGTTACTTTACACTCTCCTGTGCACGTGACAATATTTCCATGGCTACCATTACCATCTATTTGCTGAAAACCAAAAACCATTATTAGTATCTTCAGGTCATTCCTTTCTCCTGAGCTATAAATGTCAGATCGATTCAGTTATCTACCTGACTCTGCCATCTGCATCTATCTCAGGCACCTCAAAGTCCATACCAAAGAAACAGCCCTCGTTTTCATGTTGCTGTTGAATCAACACTCAGAGAGTTCACAAACTGGTCACCTCCTTTACCATCCAGACCAACATGTATGTTGATCCCATCTTCTATTTCTAGAGTTTGCCTCTTCATTTCCTTTCCAAGCTATTCCTACTGCTCTGTTTCTACCACTCACTATATCTTACCCTGACTTCTGATGTGCTCAGTTAATTCTTTTTCTGCCTCCCGCTTTTGTTGTATCTGATTTCCCAAAAGTTAATGTCAATTACTAGTATGTCACACTCATATTAAAAAATGTCAAGGTATGTACCCTTACCTATGGAATAAAATTCAAACTTATAATTCAGAATGCAAGCCATCCTTCAAGACTCATTTCAAAAGTAATTTATTGTTAAAAACTCCATATTTATTGCCACATGGAAATACTACCTATACACTCATAACAATTTCATGCATTGCTCCTTGTCTTATTGGTGCATAAATAATATTTTTCTTACCTGACTGTAAGTTCTTTAAGAAAAAGAAAAAATCACAGTCAACCTTGAACTTCTACCCTAGCATAGTTATTGACACATATGAGACTTCCAGTATTTGTTTACTAAGTTTAAATCCAAATCTCAAAATTTAATATTACATGTGCATTTGTTGGTACATATCTATGAACTATTTCAAAGTTGGCTTTAAAAATCATATATCTTGACAAATAATTAATTACACACATGAACATACGTGCATATATTATATGCACACAAACACACACATGTGTGTGCACTCACATTTAGGGTTTGGTACAAATCATGCCCCTGTTTTACTACAAAGTCTTTCATTACAAAATCATATGCATGTGATTCTGTAACATAACAATATCACACTAAAGCACGACATATGATACTTTAGGTGAAATATTCAAATTAAAATTATAAATTATTATGCCCATATTATTATCCTACCAACCACACTCAAGCAGGCCTTACTTCTGGTGGACCCTGTGTTACTTATATGATACCTATCAAATACCAAGTGGAAATTAGTGTCCATATATGTATTCTTTTAAAAATTCTTTTAACAATTCATTAATAACCTAAATGCAAAATATTTCCACATCATCATAATCTTGTATAATGTAAATTAACAAGAATAAGAGCAGTGATATCCTAAAAGTTTAAGAGGAAAAATAAGGAAAACAACATTTTTTATTGAAATAAAATATTTTACAGAATTAGGTAGTTTGCACCATTAATGAACTCGGTTTTTTTAAATTCCACTTACAAAGAAACCCATTATTTTTTTATTTTTATTTTTTTTTAAGATTTTATTTGTTTATTTTTAGAGGGGAAGGGAGGGAGATAGACAGAGAGAGAGAGAGAAACATCAATGTGCGGTTGCTGGGGGTTATGGCCTGCAACCCAGGCATGTACCCTGGCTGGGAATCGAACCTGGGACACTTTGGTTCCCAGTCCGTGCTCAATCCACTGAACTACGCCAGCCAGGAAGAAACCCATTATTACAGATGAGTTTATACCAGGTGAATAATTGATAAGTACAATTTTCATATGACACTAAAAATATTCAATTTAGGCTTTGAGGTAAGGTAAACATAATAACAAACAAAACAAATAAAAATGACTGGAATTAAACTACAGAGTAAACTTTTCAGGTGGAAATACCTTTGCAGCGGACACTAATGTCTCCTTATTTCTTTGCCTTTCTTCCTCCAAACATCTTTCAAATATTTCCTGTAAATAAGACAGACACTAAACGTATTATCTGAAGTAACAGAACACATTCTCCCCATACTCTGAGAAAACTTAAAGTGTTACCTTCTGTTCTTGAGACTGCTGAGTCAAAGCTTCCTTTATCTTTTCTTTTAACAGGTCCTTCTCTACCTCTAGCATTTCGAGGAGCCTCTGGTGCTACAAGGAATGATAAATGGATTATGATTACACCGTGAGATCTATAACCTATCAACAAGGAGAACAGCTGATAGAATTCATTTGTCCCAACATATTGTACCTTACCACACATTCAAAAAATGAATCTATGAAAAGTCAATATTATATTATATAGCTAACATTAAAGTACACGGGGTTCATGTATTTACTTTTGTTCCAGCATGCTAGTTAAAAACACACAGACCATCAGCCAGTTATCATGAAGTAGGCACTTGGCATTTGAATTGAATTTTCTAAGAAAACCTGACTTTTGTAGCTTCAGTATATTCCATATAGGTGAGCCAGATACTTGTTCTGTAACAATTTTCTTACAGGGAAACAGAAACAAAAGAAAATATATGTTCCTAATTTAATAGATTTTTCTTTCAGTTACTGAGGACAAATAAGATATTTTCTTAAATTTAGAATACTCTTTACATATAAGCCTCCTTTAAATATAAATTTATCCTGATACCCAATATTTAAAAATAAATGTATATCCTTCAAATTTGTTCTGATTTAAAACTTTTAGGAAGGCAGTCTGCACAGTCACGTCTAGTTCACATAATCTATTATTCATGGTTTTAATTGTTACTTTTTACCTTTATTTGTTAAGAAAATAAGGAAAGTCACTGTACTCCAGAAAGAAGACACCCTTACTAACAAAAGCAGAACAGAATTGCATGGACTGGGAGAGCAGCTAACCAAAGAAATTGTTCCATGTTTGGAACATAGAATTCTTGCCCCCAAATACTTGGTATTAGCTATGGACAAATCATTGCTGTTTATCTCACCATTCTCCCCCTTACAAAACAGGACATTTGTTGCAGTTATAGTTGACCCTTGAACAACACATGGATTGGGGCATTGCCCCTATGCAGTCAAAAATCCATATGTAACTCCTGATTCCCCCAAAACTTAACTGTCGTCCCTCAGTATCTGTGGGGGATTAGTTCCAGGATTCTGTGAGGATGCCAAAGGCCATGAATGCTCAAGTCCCTCGTAAAAATGGCAAAGAACAATGCATGCAGGTGGTCCTCTGCATCCAGGGATTCCCAAACACAAAGAAAAATACTGTTTTCCATCCTTGGATGGCCAAATCCCTGGATGTGAAAACCAGAGATATCAAGGGTCAACTGTATATTTACTGAAAAAAATACACACATAAGTGGAGCCACACAATTCAAACCTGTGTTGTGCAAAGGTCAACTGTATTCCGTTCCTTCTCTTCTTTTTGAATTTATTGATTATAGCTTTTATTGCGGGGGGGGGTCAAGGATACTTCTACTTTAGTTTTTAAAGATTTTATTTATTTATTTTTAGAGAGGGGTAGGGAGGGAGAAAAAGAGGGAGGTAAACATCAATGTGTGGTTGCCTCTCGAGCACCCCCCACTGGGGACATGGCCTGCAACCCAGGCATGTTCCCTGACTGGGGATCGAACTGGTGACCCTTTGGTTTGCAGTCCAGTGCTCAATCCACTGAGCCACACCAGCCAAGGTGCTACTTTATTATCCCTGTTTCTTCAACATTCCTTTTTATTCATTTAAGTCAGTAACTGCCTCATTTGAAATGTTTCTCCAATATGTGGTCACCTTTTTTTGTATGTTCATTTTTAAATTTCAGATGCAGTAATGCTGGTAGGAAAATCTGTGTATGTGGGTGAACTTCGTAAGAGGCACAGGAACCTGGCTTTTATGGTTGTGGTGGAGTTTCCCAAAGGGCGGGTCTGTAAGTGTTTTCTCTTTCTTGCATCAAAAGGAAACTATTAGTTGCAATTCAAAATTAAAGTTCTAAGAAGGAGCATCCATTTTCTTCTTCAGTAATATTTTTGAAAATATTTCTCATAAGTGTTATCTTTTCTGATCATACAAACTTTATTTTAGTGTATATACCTAAAAAGTAGACCTTACAATCAGGGCTTCATTCCTGTCACTGACAACCTAAATCCAGGGGAAATAAGTCAAAGAGGAAAAGCAGTAGTTCTAAAAGTCCAATTTTGAAACCTTTCGAATTCTTCAATAGATATGATTCAAACAATACCTACTATTGTTGGACTTTCTATTACTCTTTATCTAAGATGTTCTACTTGTCTTTTCTTTCTTAAAATTGTTTAAATTATAAATTTTCATGGTAGAAATTCAACTATATAGGTTAATATGTTATTTTTTTATAATTGCAATAAAGGATAGTTTACCTTGTTTATGAGTTTGTAGATTATTGCACTTCATTTCCCTATCTGAATTCATAAGCTTATTAACGTATATTAACCATACATATAAGAAATATTTGCTTGGTGCCTAGCAACACAAGATACTGTACTGGTGTCCGGGGATGTAGTCTTCAGGGACATTAATGTCTAATAGAGAATTGATACAACAAATATAGTTTCTTACATTTGACTTGTAGAACTAGGATAAAACAAATTTTCTTTAATAACTACAGTAATACTTTTCCTCCACAGCACAACAAAAACATCTTAAGTACAAAATATCAAAAATGATTCAGAAGTAAGTAATTAGAAATTAACTTTAAAAAAACCCCACATGCAATGTTGAATAAAAGTGGTGAAAGTGGTCCCCTTGTTCTATTCCTGATCTTAGTGGGAAAGCATCATCTGGTTTGGGGATTAGGATGATACTGGCTTCATAAAAAGAGTTTGGGCATCTTCCCTCTTCTTGGATTTTCTGGAATAGTCTGAGAAGGATAGGGGTTAGCTCTTCTTTAAATGTTTTGTAAAATTCTCCTGGGAAGCCATCTGGTCCAGGGCTTTTGGGTGCAGGAGTTTTTTGATTACTGCTTCAATTCCACTAGCTGTTACCAGTCTGTTTAGGTTTTCTGCTTATTCTTCACTCAGTTTTGGAAGATTACATGTTTCTAGAAATTTGTTCATTTCACCCAGATTTTCAAATTTCTTGGCATATGGTTGTTCATAGTAATTTCTTACAGTCCTTTCTATTTCTGCGATATCCCCTGTAACCTCTCCTCTTTCATTTCTGATTTTATTTATTTGGTTCCTCTCTCTTTTCTTCTTGATGAGTCTGGTTAAAGGCTTGTCGATTTTGTTTATCTTTTCAAAGAACCAGGTCCTAGATTTATTGATCCTTTGAATTGTACTTTTAGTCTCTATGTGGTTTAATTCTGCTCTGATCTTGCTTATTTCCTTCCTTCTGTTCACTCTAGGCTTTTTGTTATTGTTCCTCCAGTTTTCCTAGGGTTAGGTTGTTTATTTGAAAAGTTCCTATCTTTTTTAGGTAGGTCTGTATTGCTGTGCACTTCCCTCTCAGGACTGCCTTCACTGAGTAAGTTTTGGATTGTTGTTCATCTTCATTTGTTTTAGAAATCTTCTGATTTCTCCCTTGATCTCATTATTAACCCATTCATTGTTTAACAGCATGCTATTCAGTCTCCAGGAATTTGAAAGTTTTTAAGTTTTTCCTTGAGGTTGGTTCCTAGTTTCAGGCCCTTGTGGTCTGAGAAAATGCTACAAGGAAAATAAAGTACCTAGGAATAAACTTAACTGAGGATAAAAGACTTGTATTCAGAAAACTACACAACACTGAAGGAAGAAATTAAGGAGGATTCAAATAAATGGAAGCATATACTGTGTCTATGGACAACTTACTGTCATCTTAGAAGTTGCTGAAATGGTATCTCATTGTGGCTTTTATTTGCATTTCCCTAATGATGAAACATATTGAGCATCTTTACAAATGCCATGTCTACTTCTGATACTAACTACTACTATTCTTCTGAACTATTACTAGTATGATTTTCACAAAAGGAAAATAATCAGAGCTCTTTTTGCAACTTAATAAAGAACTGACTAGAAAGTACATTGGATTTGAGGTTTGTTCATTGTCTGAGATTCTGCCAGAAGGAGGGATGCCTCTCCACTCTGGGCTAGAGATTATTTTAAGTATTTTATCACAGTCAACTAGAAATTATAAAGTATCAAGAGAGCGCTTGTCTGAAAATCTGAAGATTGCCTGTATTACTTCTCACTTCCATCTCAATATAGAATTCCTTAATTGTTCAAAAGGTCTAGTACCTAGATATGGTTCATATGGTTTCTAATGGTATGAGAGAAGGTCAATATATTTTTTGTTCCTTATTAACTGATCATTCCAAGGTACGGATGTTCTGAACAGTTTTTGTTACAGAGAGGCTGAAATTGAACCAGTGGCAACATTCAATCAAAAGACTCTTTTTCAAATATTTACAACTTCTACACAAAGAGAGACTTTCAACAAAGTTTGCAGGACAGACTCAGAACATTTTAAAAGTCATTATGAAAATTAACTGAAAACTATACCAGTACATTTTATCTAAGAAAAGTGAAGAGTTTGCTACATTTTACTTATCTAAAATAGTCTATGAATGTCTTAAAATTATATTGTAATTTTAGTAATCTTTAAGCAAATTGAAGAAACAAGTGCAAACTATAGAGTTCCATTCATCTCACAGTGTAGATGCTTAACTCAAAGGTGTTAAGGACAGTGCTTTGAAACTTGGCCTGAAACAAAAGGCACTCAGGATAGGTTCTGCTGTCCCTCCCACCCTGTTTAGGAAGGAATTCTTCCAAGTAAAGAAGATGTGATGCACACTCAAATATAAATATAGAGGTTCTGTGGGTTTTACTGATTCCTGTAAAAAAAAAAATAGAAAGAAGCTCTTTTTTTCCTGGAATGTGAGTCATAAGAGATATTGTAAACTGAGTTAATCACAATCACACACGGATAGTTTTTATATATTAAATTTTAGACTGAGCAGTTGTGGAAGCTCATGTTCAGGTAGTTAGTTATCCAGTTATCACAGGTCCACAAGCTTCACATTATGTCTCTGTGTGTGCGCATGTGTGTAGAATGTATCTTGTAATGCAAACCCAAGAAGCACCATCTCACATCTTCTATATATCACAAACATTAAACAAGATCAAGTGATCTGGCGGGATAGTCTTAAATCGCATGTTCATATAGGCCTC